GGGGAAGGGGCAGCATGGGCCTGGGCGAGCCAGGGAGGCTGCACTGGGGGTGGAATCGGGACGTCTGTGTTTAGTAGGAAGCCCCTGAATGGATTTTCTTAACCCAGGAAATAAAGCCGGGACTTGGCGGTGCCCCATCCCAGCTCAGACCCCCTCCCCTGGCTCCCAGCCCCGCAACCACGGCCAAGCCCCTTCCTGGCTCCCAGCCCCCTCCCACTGCTCCGAGACCCACTACCATGGCCCAGGCCCCTCCTGCCTCTCCCAGCTCACAATCCCCTCCACCGCTCCCCCTGCTCCCAGCCCCAAAATCACAGCCCAGGCCCCTCCTCCTCCCTACCCTGCTCTCAGACCCAGCTTCCAGCCCCTCCCCCACAGCTCACCCCCCCCACTACTCCCTACCCAGCTTCCAGCTGCCCTCCCGCTTCCTATGTTAAATCATAGAACAGCTGGTGCAACAAGTGTGTTCTCAGGGCCTTGGCAGGTGAGTGCCCTGGTGTAAATCAGGAGTAATTCCATTGGAGTCACTGGAGTCGATCCCCTTCTCGTCACCCCGACTCTTACCTCACCCTCCCTGCCCCCACCTCCACTCTTCTGCCCATGGCTGGGCCCATCCATCCCCAGGACTGAGAACCCCCCCATCTGAAGGCTGTGCTGAGAACTCAAAGGGTTACAGCAGGGCCAGACCCACCCCAGCTCCCGCTCGGCTGGGTGGAATCAGACCCTCTGGGTTCCCTGTGCTGGGGAAATGGCTCCTACGCCAAGTACTAGCCTGGGCATCACCCCCAGAGCCCCGTGAATCCCCAGGCCAAGGGTCAAACCGAGCTGAGACCCAGTCACGGGGCTGAGCGCTGACTTCCCTGGCAATGCAGAGTGAAGGTGCTGCCTGAAATCCCCTTAACTCTGCCCTGGATCCATAGGTGCTGGAACTAGCAGTGCGGGGGTGCTGCCCCCCCCCCCCCCCCCCCCAGGCTTGAAGTGGTTTCCATTATATTCAGCGTTCACAGTTTAGTTCAATGGCTCTCAGCACCCCCAAGATACAAATTGTTCCAGCACCACTGCCTGGATCCCAGCCCAGCCTTGGCCTAATGTGCTCTGCCCTGTACGGGAAGGACACATGGAGTTATAGAGGCAGGGGCAGCACAGTGCAGCCCAGAGAGCCCAGGAGGGGACCCAGGATTCCTGGGTTGTATCCCCAGTTCTGGGCAGGGAGTGGGGTTTAGCGCTTAGAGTGTGGGGCTGGGAGCCAGGACTCCTGGGTTCTAGCCTGACCTCTGCTCAAGCCTCCTTGTGAGTTTGTGCACGTTACTTCACTCTCTGTCTCTCAGTGGCTCCCTCTCTGCAATGGGGCTGCTGGAGAGCGAGGCTGACCCTGCCCCAGGTGAGCACCACAGAGTGAGTAAGAGACCAAAGATGATACAATTCCCTGACAACAAGCTGAGATGACACCAGCCCCCTCCCTCTGGGGAGCAGGCGCTGAAGGGTTAAGGTTCTGCCAAGCAGGACTGTGGGAGGTTTGGGAGGGTGCAGGTGGCCACAGCACTAGCCACAGGGAGGTGAGCCACGTGGCCTCCAGCTGCTGGTGTGGTGTTGGGGGGGCTAGATTGGCTGGGGGAGGGATTGTCTCTGCGCTGCCTGGGGGCTGGGGGCTCCCGCCAGGTGTGTAATGATGGAAAGAGGTGCACGGGGGATGCTGGGTGCCTCAGCCTTGTGTCAGGGCCTGAGCTTGTCCAGAGCACTTCTTGCCACCGGTAGGGAAACTGAGGCATGGGGCGAAGCCATAACTCGGCCAAGCTCACCCAGCATCCCTCCCCCAGCCTGGGTGAAAGGGGCTTTCCCTTGTTATGTTGTATGTGAGCCTGTGAGTCTTACTGTTTTGTATGAATACTGTGTGTGCCTCAGTTTCCCCGCATATTGCATCAGTGCCTAGGTGTGGGAATAAGGGTGCGTGACTTTTGCTGAAGCCCTGGGGACACATAAAGAGGCTCCAGCTGCCTGCACATAAGCGATGGCTGATGCCTTTCGTAACCTGAGAACCAGGAGGGGGATGTGACCAGGTGACACTTTGCCAGGGAAGCAAGACAAAGACCAGGAGGAACAATGGGTGTGTGGGAGGTCAGGTCGCTGGAAACTGGGCAGTCGGCTGTTGGGGACTCAGAGGGGGGAGTCCAGGGCATCTAGCCTGGGGTCCCCCTAAAATGGACTTTGCTGAAAGTCACTGATTCCTGTGCTAACAAGCTCTGTCTACACTATGTTCCTGTCAACTAATAAACTTTCTGTTTTACGCTGGCTGAGAGTCACAGCTGGCTGTGGAGTGGGGTGCAGGACCCTCTGGCTTCCCCAGGGGTCTCGTCCAGGTGGACCCGCCAAGGGGAAGTGTACGGTGTGAACAGGGATGCTGGATGCTCCGAGGTCAGACCAGGAAGGCTGAAGCCGAGGAGGTTTTTTGCCCTGTGCGGCATTTCCCGAGGGCAGTCTCCACCCCAGAGTCCTGGCTGGCTGGATACAGAGCAGTTCCAGAGCAATGGACCTGTGACTCTGTCACAGAGAGTGATTAAGCTTTGGCCTGGTCAGTGGGGGAGTCTGCAGGGGGAATTCAGTGCAGACGGGGTGTTTTTCTAACCACGGCTCTAGAAATGATTGTGGGACTGTTCGGTGGCCTGCGCGAGGCCGGGGGGGTCGGACTAGCTGATCCCATCGGGCCCGGCTGGCCTTCCACTC